GTTCACAGGAATTCAGGAGAATGAATGAATATGCATTGCAAAAATGGCTAATGTGTTTTACAATTACCATAAAAAAGCGTGGAAAGCCTCGGAGGGGTTCCTGAAGCGCAGCAAAATGGTTGTGATATCAATTTACGTTCTGTAATAATTTCTGCTCCTGTGCCTTTAGTATTGGCTTTCAAGGTGAAATGGAAAAAAAAGTGAATGGAGTGATTGAATGGAGATGAGAGGTGGAGAGCTGATATCGGCAAAAAGGAGAGGAAGGAGACCGTTCATGAGATGAAGAGATGGATAGAAGGAACTATTGGAAGAGAGAGAGTCTCGCTTGACCAGAGTTATATGATGCACTTCACGGTGCTGCATTTCTGCTTTACCCTCTCTCTCTCTCTCTCTGCTGTGCGTTTTTCTGCAACCTCTGCACTAACAACTGATTCATGCTCTCCATGAGAGGGAGACTGGCATTCGCCAATGCAAATGACAACAGGAGTGGGCGCTCTGCCAAACACCATGACTTCAAACACTCCAATTTTATTGCATGCACATGCAAAAATCAAAATCAAAACATCAGTGTCACGAATGCTTCATATGCAGCTTATTCGGCACAATATTATGTATTTTATTTTTACCATCTAATCAATTATGGACTGACAAGATAAAGTCCTGCCCTGAATTTTCTGCTCATCCTGTTTAACTTAGAGAAATAATAAGAATTAAAAAAAGTTAATTTGCAAAGTAATAATTCAATTGTTCTGCCTAGAGGGTGATAGACATGGAGACTTTTTCTACAGAAATATTTCATATGTCTCCTTTAGAGTTTCAAAGGGATCTCAAAATCTCAACCTCTTTCATATTCTATCACAAAAGTATTTGAAACTTAAATATAGTGTTTCATATTTCCATTACAAAAGTTTTGCGAGTAAATGCAGTTTCTCAGGGGAACGCAAACATTTTGTGTGCAGAAGCAAAGTTTCACGGGGGTACGCAAAAGTTTTGCAAAGGTTCTCATGGAAAGTTAAAGTTTCTCCAGTGAACGCAATGATTCTCAAAGGAAGGCAAATGTTTCTCAGGTGAACGCTAAGTTTTGCAAATGAACGCAGTTTCTTGAGGGACCTCAAGGTTTCTTAGGGGAAGTTTTGCGAGCAAACGCAAATTTATTTATGGGAACTCAAGCATTTTGCAAGACAACACAAGAGTACTAAAATATAATTTTTCTTCCTTTTTAATTTTTTCATTACTGTGTCCCTTTAGGGGCTCCATAGATTCGGCAACGCTGCAGAAAAAACAATGCTTAAACCAGCCTAAGATGGTTTGCTGGTCTTAAGTGGTTTTAGCTGGTCTTCCAACCTGGTATTCATCCAACTTGTCTCCTAGCCTGACTAGCTGAAAATTGCTGACACAAGATGCGAGCTAAGACCAGCTAAAACCAGCTAAAACCAGCAAACCATCTTAGGCTGGTTTAAGATGCTTCTTCAATGCTAAATCTGCAATCAAAATTAAGATATTTTAAATCCTCAACCATTTCTTATTGAATACTTCCAAGACTAAATTATCTGAGCTATTCCATTCACATATTCTATCCGCTTTATGCTTTTATTTTATGGCAACCATCATTATTATTATTGTAACTTATCATTATAATAGTATTATTATTGAGAGTCATGCATAACTCACCTTGCACCATGTGATCAACTTGAATAATTACTCAAATGATGTGCTTTTAAAATCAATTAGGTGTAACACCTGGGCCACTAAACAACCACTCATGAACCAAATTTTAGAAACCACCAAGCAAAGCTCTAGCAACTACCTAGGACACCTTAGCAAACACGTAGCAACAGCCTAGCAACCAAACTCAACACCTTAGCATTCTGGCAGCGAGTTTTAACCTGCTCTCTCTGCAGTGGGTGGCTCTGTGTGTTTTTCTCTGCTCTGTCTTTCAGTAGAGCGAGTGGCAGCAGTAGAGAGGTCTTCACTCAAGCGTTACTGCAGCATCATCACTCACTGTGTGCCGGAACGTTACTCTCATCAGCTGCGGTTGGCATTCGAGCCCAGTCAGCAACTTTCCACAAGCCTGTGTACGTGTGTGCGTGTGTGTTCTGTTAAAAGAGAAATATGTTCAGTATTAAAGAGCAGGGACCTGGGCGGTGATAACCCCTTATTTCACTGAGATGTTCTGAAGAGGCCAGATATTTTAAGCACAGGCAAAGCAACAGCGTTTTAAAGGGGTTTAATGAACCGGTTCAAACTCACTTCACTAAAGCCGGCAGCCTTTGTGGAGGAAGCTTTGTTGAAAAGCACATTTGCTCAGTCACTTGGCACTGAACTAACCCGGCCGCCTTTAGCCTGTCACTCGCTCCAGAGGCTTCTGTGTCACTGTGCTTTGGTCATTTTTTATTAGTCTTAGTTTTTTTCTTTTCTTTTTAGCTTTAAATTATTATTGTTATTTTAGTTTTAGAAATTTTAGCACTTCAACTAAAAACATTTATTTCAGTTAGTTGCTAATTATTTCAATTAATGAAAATTAATTTTAATAGTTTTAAAGTGCCAGCAAAGGGTCTGAATATTTAGGACCATGTGATATTTCAGTTTTTCTTTTTTAATACATCTGCAAAAATGTCAACAATTCTGTGTTTTTCTGTCAATATGGGGTGCTGTGTGTACATTAATGAGGAAAAAAATTAACTTAAATGATTTTAGCAAATGGCTGCAATATAACAAAGAGTGAAAAATTTAAGGGGGTCTGAATACTTTCCGTACCCACTGTATATACAGTATATTAATATTGGCAAGAGTAGCACTAGACTAAAGTGACTAAAGCAGATGTTTATGCATACACTTTTAGGAATCATCTCAATCATTTGATAGTCAACAAGATAATACACTATGTATGCATAAAATTTGTTAAGTTAGTCATAAATGATTAATTATGCTCTATAAATTCACCTCACAGAAATAGCATACAAGCACTGTGGAATAATTTTAAAATAACATGAAGACATCAGTGAATGCATAATGTACAATCTGATTGCGGCATTGTATGGTAACATTATGTAACTCTGACGAATCTGAGAGGCTAAGATGATATTCATCATTAACTTATGTGTGTTTTAAGTACAAACAAACTTATTCAAACAGAATCCACAGGAAGCATTTTTATAATGAACTGGAAAAACATCTGACAACTGAAATTTTCCCTTGAGAAAAACCCTGTTCAACCAGAAAGACATCATTTCATTCATAATTGCAAAGTGCGAGAGACTCAAACAAGTGGAATTTACTCATGGAAGTCCCATTCAAAGCTCATTAGAATGATAATCATGTTAGAGTGCATTTCTTCAGAGGAGGCGAAGCAATTTGTGAGACATCCTGATGTACTTCAAATCCCAGGTGTTTTATATGCAAACGGAAACCCACTCTGGGGTATCCCAGTGCAGGAATCAGATTCAGTAAGATGTTGCATTAAGTATGAGCCCATGAAGTATCTATGAGGCATTCAGACAGTCTGCGCAGGGTGAACATGACAGACTCATTTAACATTCATGATGGAAAATGTCATTTTAAAAAGAATTTTAGATTGGAAAACAGTTAGCATAAATACACAGCATCCTAGGAATAGACCCCCCCCCCCCCCAAAAAAGCAAATTCTATCACCATTTAATCACCCTTGTGTAGTACTAAATGTTATTTTATTTCATGGAACACAAACGCTTAACATGTTTTCCATACAATACAAGTGGATGGGGACTGGGGCTGTTGAGCTTCAAAACTGTCAAAAAATACCAAAAAGCAGTACATATAACTTGTGCAAAATATTCCAAGTCCCCTGAAGCCATATGATAGCTTTGTGTGAAAAATAAACCTAAACTTAAGCCATTATTCACTGAAAATGTTCTGACACATTCCGCTTCATTGCGCCATATGACATTTTTGTGAATAACTATTTAAATTTCTGTATTTTTTTTATGCACACAATGCTATCAGATGGTTTCAGAAGGCCTGCAATATAATAGAGGAGTTGTATGTATTACTATCATGGAACACAAATGTAGGTGTTTAGCAGAACGTTTTCCATACAATGGAAGTGGATGGGGACTGGGGCTGTTGAGTTCCAAAAATGTATTTAAAAAAAACTACCAAGTACATACAATTTGAGCATGAAACTCCAAGTCATCTGAAACCATATGATAGCTTTGTGTGAGGAATAAACCTAAACGTAAGCCATTATTTGCTGAAAGCGTTCTGACAACATTCCCTTTCATTGCGCCCGATGACAAAGATTTTCTGTGAATAGCTACTTAAATTTCTACTTTTTTATGCACACAATGCTATCAGATGGTTTCAGAAGACATGCAATATAATACAGGAGTTGTACGGATTACTTTCATGGTGTTTTTTCTTTGTCATTTTTGGATCTCAAAATCGTCGGGTCCCCACCACTTTCATTGTATGGAAAAGAGCAGTTTGAAAACTCCGCAAAAAAAATCTATTTTAGCGTTCAATGGAAGAAAATCTAGAAAAAAATTAAAAGTTCAAATGATGACTTTAGAATGACATGAAGATAAGAAAATGACGACAGTTTTAATTTTTAAGTGAACTGTCCCTTTAAATGATGTCCTCTTACATCCATTGACTCCTGATTTACTTTTACAAACACTTATGAATTGACTCCAGCTGTGTGCTTTTTAATAATATATGCAATAATTGTGAATAAGTGGACTTATACAATTGTGCATGTCATGTTCACTCTTGCAGAAATTCCCTAGAGCAGCCATGCAGACATACTGGTACATGTGCATTTTCATAAACAAACAGTCACACGTTCACACACACAGTGATGGAATCGCTTTTCAAATACATGTATACTCGCACACTGAGGGCTGACACACAACATCTATGGGCGCAATCTCATTTGAATACACACTGGCACACACACAACCACGCCACACACACTCCCCACCCCCACCCTAGCATTACTGCAGTGGATGCAGTCTTTAACTCACATTGGAGTCCAGCAGGTCGATGCTGTCCAGGCTCTTGCTGCGGTGGATTCGGCCCTTGATTCTGCGCAGGGATGGTTTGCCGTGCACCGATCCCTCAGATTCTTCCAGCAGAGCAATGTTTTCTGGGGTGTGGATGAAACCGTGGATCTTGGGATAGTAACTAAGATAATGACAGACAGTGTGTGTTAAAATGTGGCGTAAATTTAATCTCCATTAAAAAGATGAGCACAACCAATGGAGTTTTGTTAGTGAAATGGAGTGAAAGGGGTTTAAAATGCTTACACTGCAGGCCCGTATTTGTCTTTGTCGTGTTTGGGGAAGACCCTGAGATTGAAGCACAAGAGAAAGAGAGAAATACTTTGAATTTCATGACATAAAAACAATGAAAAGATATATATTTATAAGGGATAGTTCACACAAAATGGAAAATTCTGTCATTAAGCCTTTGGAACACAAAAAGCTAATTTCAGCTCATTGTCATTGACTTTCATTATAGGCACATTTTTAAAATATTTTATTTAGTAAAAACAGCCTCTGTTACTCTTTGATGGATAATTAAAATGAAAATACAGTAACAATATTAAAGTAAAAATAAGTAAATAGTTACAGGGGCTTTATTTTGCCTACTGGGATCTGAAGGAAAATGCTTTTTTAAACAAAAAGGAGGGAAATCTGGCTGCTATAGTGCATTTAATATAAAAAATGTAATTAATATATAAAATTAGCAAATTAACCACACAAAAAGCTAATTTCAGCTCATTGTCATTGACTTTCATTATAGGCACATTTTTTAAATATTTTATTTAGTAAAAACAGCCTCTGTTACTCTTTGATGGATAATTAAAATGAAAATACAGTAACAATATTAAAGTAAAAATAAGTAAATAGTTACAGGGGCTTTATTTTGCCTACTGGGATCTGAAGGAAAATGCTGAGGGAAATCTGGCTGCTATAGTGCATTTAATATAAAAAATGTAATTAATATATAAAATTAGCAAATTAACACAACTGGAGATCCAGTTTTACTCAACAAATCAGTTTAGTTTAAAGTCAACATGAAATGATGTTGGCAACTCTTTTCACTTGTGTAATGTGACATATTTCAAAGCAAAACAGGATATTCATTGAGAAAAATTATATTATGGCACATATCCACAGTCATCCATCCATAATAGACACAAATCACCCACATTAAATAACACAAATAGTAAAGGCCAAGCTCAGATAATATTCCATAATCATGTTCCAGTAACCAACAATACACCACAGCATGTAAAACTAATCCAACTAACCTTACATTATTTTTAAAATAATGTAAACTGAATGCAGATAATACGGGTATCTAGTTCATAAAAAGGGCAGAAATGGCTTTAATATAAAAAAAAGTGTTAGGTGTTTCTATATACAGTAAAATAAAATAAAAATTAAAATAAAAAAAGTTTTTTCCACATTGTGCACATTCAAATGCCTCTTTGCGATATAAAGGAGAAACTTGACCTGGCAGAGGTTAGGGAGAGGTTATATAATACCCCTGGAGCACATGGTTTACAGTAGCTGTGGCAGGATGTAAGACAGTCCTTGTACAGTAGAAGAGGCAATTTGAATGTCTTGTACCATAACTGCTTACCACATGTTTGTGAAGAGGATTTGCTGGAAACCCCTGCAAAACGAAATTCAATACGGCAAATCTTCTGTTTCAACGTGCTGACTGGGGCACCAATGAATAGGAGACCTCATTTCCATATTAAGTGGTAGATTAAGGAAGCCTCCTGGGCTGTTGCTAGCTTCTGGTTTTGAAGAATAGGCTACCATAAACTGAAAAAGGAATTGAAGAAGCGTCTAAAACGCCTCCACTGGATTGTAATTTAGAGCGTTAAACGAGATCGGCAGAGAATGGAAGACTAAAGAGAGGACAAAGACATTAGTGTGACAATGAGGTTGATGTTGGCCTGAGGAAACCAAGTGAGGTCTCACCTTCAGTTAATCTCTAATACATTTAAATCATCTGGAAATGAGTCCAAGGACAACATTTCAGCTGTGTGTGCACATATATGGAGAGTTTAAAAAATTTACACAAATGTATACCAAAAGACCAGTAATATACTATAAGTACGCAAAGCTATCTGTTAGCATTCCAATTCATCTAATATATGTGATTTAGATGTGATTTGGATTTGGATGTGATTTGGAAATATGTACACCTTGGCTTTTTGAGTCACAAGCAAATGACATTTTGACAGTGTTAATTGGCTTATAGCACCAGAAAAACTTTCACAGACCAACACTAGCGACTATCCTGAGTTGTGACGTATGAAGTATGTGACGTATATTGGTTTTTACGTATGCATACAGTGCAAATAATGTACATTTTGTCACAGCATAGTATGCGTATTTCTTTTTCTCAGACAGAAAAACTACTAAACACCAAACTACCAAAGATGCAACAACAAACGCCCAATTTGACAAGCACTTGTGAGAAACAAGAAACACACAACTGTAGTTTAAATTGTACAAAGACAATTTTATCGCTTGTAACTTCTAAAGAGAAATTCCAGTGCACATGTGTCAAGCGCCAGTGTTCGTGCATGCTATCAAATAGAGCATACTTTACAATGCTGTTGTACACTAAGCGTTCATGTAAAAAATGATGTATACATTTGCCTTTACTGGCTCATGCTAACCAGCTAAACCTTGACTCCAATACTCAAGGGGGCAACAGAGTTACCTTCAAATTGTCACATTAAAATGTTATTGTTCAGGTAGCTAGCTATAGCTAACTTATGCAGCAAGCTTTTTTCACACTCTTTCTCCACAATGAAAGAGAAAACTGGGTGTAGAAGAAAACAATTCATGCTAACGTCCAACTTGCAGCAATGCTAAGAATGCAACACATTCAAGTTTCAGGCCAAAGTGTATTTTTTGAAATGACAATCACAAGTGAGAATAGTTCGCGTTCAGCATTGAAGATGCTGACATTGGCTGCGTCCGAAAGCTAAAAAAAAATGCTGCCTCCGAAGGCAGCATTACGGAGGTAGAAAAGGCAACAAGGCATATCTGAATCGAAAGATCATGTCAAATCCTCTATACTGAGATCTAATCAGTTTTTGAGGGCACCCTTTGCTGTCTGTGATATCCAAGTATCCTGTGCGTTTGAGTCAGCTAAGCTAAATTAATGATAAAATAGCATATGAAAGCTGCAGGTGGTGTAAATGAATGACTTGATTTTTGTGCACTTAATTTTTGAACAACTTAACCTTTTGATTTCCTTTCTTGTGAGAAATTAGTGTTTTAGTAATTATACATTTCCTTAGTTAATGCCAAAGCTCTCTCTATTTTGTTGTAGATCATTAAACTGTTATTCTGCCTCAGAAGTCTGTCCGAAATCAGTTTCGGGAGGTACCTTCATGTGCAAATGCTGCCTGTGAAATAACTGCCTGTTAGGGCAGCGAGGAACAAGTCAGCTGCCTAAGCTTTCAGACACAGCCATATACTACTGAGTGTCCAGCTAATTTTGCTGTCCAAACAAGATCCTTTGCACTGTTAAAGCCACAAAGAAAAGCCTACAAAAAGTCTACAATCAACTTGGGTAGTCTGTAAGTTCCTGACTTCTTCCTATGTGCCTCATAAAGCTATCAGGCACAATTAGATATAGAAAGCAAAGGATACTGCTTGATCAGCAAGTCAATATCCACAGTTTAGACACAATGCTGACCACTACGCTACCATCCATGACTGCCATCAACATTATCTTTGCTGCCATTATCACAAACGTTAATATGATTTTCTCTTCGGCCAGCACAGAATGGCCTAAGGGCACCACAGCGCGAGCCAGGAACAAATGCAGTCGTGTGTGTTCAGCCCAGGGTGAACACAAAAATTCTACTAAAGAGGGATTTCTATTTTGCTTTACGGCCGTCAACTGCTAATGAAGTAAATAATCACTCTGGATGGGGATGAAAGTGGAAGGCAAAGACGTTTATTTAGCTTGATGGAGGGGAGGTACTTACAGAGAGTCTCAATCAGTGCTCTACTTGTCTTTTGGAAAGGAGGGGCAAAAACTGTGCGGGGAAACCCAGAGATTCGCATGAAACGTGACCTAGACGCTTCTTCTGAACTCTGTGGCTTCCATCAGTCAAACGCATGCTCGGCTCACGTTTAAAAGAGTGTGTAAATGCTAAAAAACACGTGTCAAGAGGCCTCGGGGTGGGCAACTGCCGCCTATTTTATTACGCCAGGTTAAAGCTAAGCTCTGGAATAGTTTGTACGACTGTTGGGGAAGAAGGCCATCTGCTGTGCTTCCAGGACTGGGAACAGACCCCGTTCTCAGAACTTCTCTTTTTCCACTCATCACAGCCGATACTGAGGGTTTAGAAAAGTCCTTTTTGTTAAATCACTGGTAATAAAACATTAAAGGTGGCCAAAAATGAAGAGCCCTGATGGACTGTTTGTCTTAATGATTGTAGAGGCATCTGACATTTCCTTTGATCAAAGACAAATGAGATGTAGTTTATTAGTCACGTCCCACAGAGTCAGCTGATCCAGTTACTTGATATGCTTCATATTTGAGTCAATCGTTTGATATTACAGCAAAAACAGAAGCATGTTGCCTGCCCATTATCATCCACAAGGGCCCTTTTAAGCAATCTTCACTTGCCTCATGACAACTCATCACTACTATGTTTCTCCTTTTACCTCTTTTCCTGGATTGATCCTGAAGTCTTCTGGGTGAAAGTGGACAGATATTTAAACACAGGCCAGGTGGCTCACCTAGGAACAAATTGAGTGTAGCAACTCTCAAAGACGAGAAATTCTTAAGCATCCTCTGGTCAGATTTCAGAGAAGAGTCTCTAGTATTGTGATTGTGAATACGCCTTCATACTATAAAGGTATGCAAAATATGATATTCAGTATCTTTCTAGCAATTAATGACTGTCAAAACATATCTGGGTAACATTTCACACCCCAAAAATCAAAGGAACAATGAACACAAAGCCTTTTTTTTTGGTACCATTTCGATGTATTGCATTACATTATTTTTAAGTAAATTAAGCACATTTCCCTCCATAGTTTGCATTATCTTAAGGGGAAAAAGTCTAATTTGTATTACTATAATGTGATATCCACTGTCAAACCGTCAAGAACATGTCTGGGTTACATTTAACATCAAAATCAAAAGAAAAAAACAAGGATTTGAAGACATTCACAGTTATCTCACATGAAAATGGAAATAAGGCCTATTTTCTATTTTTTGCTGTAATTGCACGTATTTGCAAGCAAAATTCTAATCATTCTAATTACCTTAACTAAAAGCCCTTTAAAATATA